CAACCCCTATGTCTGAGTCTTAACATGGTTACCCAAACCAGAAATTCTTCATATATGTGAGTCAGACTTACCAAAAAGAGATGACAGTGGGTGTCTTTGACCTCCCAGAATGGAACTGCTTACAGGAGGCTGTGCTGATTTTAGTGGTCAGAAGTTGAGATTGTGGCTCAAGTGTGCTAGCCATAAGCATGAAAGCTTAAGGACAGTACCCAGACCCTGAGTTCAAGCCCCAGGACAGACACACACTCATGCCCATGCACACACACACACACACACACACACACACACACACACACACACACACTGAGGTAGCGTTGGTGAAGAATTAGGGGGTTTTGTTTTGGTTTGGTTTTGTGTTGGTGGTGGGGCTTGAACTCTGGGCCTGGGTGCTGTCCCTGACCTCTTCAGCCAAGGTGAGCACTTTACCATGTGAGCCACAGCACCACTTCCAGTTTCTCAGCCTCCTGAGTGGCTAGGATTACAGGCATGAGCCACTGGTGCCCTGTGAAGACTCAGAGTCTATGTTGAAGGGGCAGAATGATACAGGCTCCGGCTTCAGGATTATCTGAGGACTGTGTTTGAGTATTAGGAAAGCTCTTGGCATGCCGGGCTAGAGAGGGAAAATGTTCTCTCTCTTTATCTCAAAACACATGTCACAGACTCCTGGGAGCTGAGGAAGTAGCTCTTCTGCTTGCTTAAGCATAGATGAACAGCTGGTCAAGCATTTTCCTGAGATTGGAGAAGTGGTTTGAGCTTGCTCTAAAATAGTTTAGATAATACTATACCAAGACATTGTCTCATAGGTTAAATAAAAATGTATCTTTAAATTAATTTAATTTAATTTAATTTAAATGTTAAATAAAAAATTTTTGTGTGAATGTCTCCTGACCAAATCTTGGCAAAGATCATGCTTGCTTGTCTTTAAATACCCACTGACAATAAAGCACAGCATGCAGTGGCAATTGCTGTTTGCACTCTGCATCCCCTGGGTCCTGGTGATTTCGTGACCCTTACCCAGGGACCCCAACACACTAGACGTTGACAGTGCCTGGCAAGAATTAGGTTTTGATAGGTGAATTGTAAGGAATGTTGTTATGGTTTTGATAGGAAATGTCTTCCCCCAAAGACTCAAGTGTTAAAGACAGTTTCCAGCTGATGAGGCTATTGTGATGTGGGAGGACCTCTGGGAGGTGGGGCTTAGTGGAAGGGAGTTAGGTCATTGGGGTGTGTCCTTAAAGAGGATGTTGGGATCTGGATGCCTTCCCCTGCCCCTGGACCCCCACTCCTCTCTCTCTCTCTCTCTGTCTCTTTCACTCTGCTTCCTGACTAACAAGAAGTGAAAAGCTTTGCTCC